TGTTCCCAATCCCTCCTCCAGAGTCGCACCGAGGCTCGTGTATGAGACCAACCGACCCGAGTTTTTGGAACTGCCCTTTTCGAAAACAGCTACTAAAACACGGCTCGGCTCGACTCTGCTGGGCTCGTCTCGTACACGATCTGCGAAAAATTTTTTTTCCGGAAGGCAGGTAAGGTTGCCCCACGGTGGATGGCGGTAGTTTGAATGTGGTGCCAGCGTAAGTCAAAAATTACTTAAAGATGGCTCTAGGTAGTGCTCAAAAAGTTTCAGTACTCAAGCTGCTCTGGTTGCAGAGTTACTTCAAATTTCACGCGTTCGTGAGTGGCAACGTGAGTGCCTTCTTCGCCCGCGGATACTCAAACGCGGCCCTGGCTAATGCTGAGAAAGTTTCAGCACTCCAGCCGCTCTGATTGCGGAGTTACGTCAAATTTCACGTATGCACACGTGTTCGTAGTGAGATGCACAACAGCTGACAAGTAATTTACTTCCACGGATACGATAGTGGGCAACAAGTGAAGCTGCAAAATTGCAGCCCTCTGCAGCTTATTGATCACCTTAAATTTGGAGTCGGCACGATGCCAACTTAAACTTTGACGTGTGCGTACGTGAGTCCTGATGGTGCGTGAAGGCTGAATTTGAAATCTTTGGATTAGACGTGGCCAAGGAACAACTCTGTGAATTTCTAGCCCCCTAGCATGGGCCGTTCCCGAAAACGCTTTCCCGCCAAAAAAACTTTCACGTGCCCCTACGTGAGAATCACGCGGACCTGAACGTCTATTTTGAGGATACGAGCTCGCACATATGTTTAGATTAAATCACCAAATTTTCAGCCTTGTAGCCTTTGTTGATCTCGAGATGAAAACTCGTTACAGACGCACATACTGATACACACACACACAGACACACAAACAACCCCTCGACAATATGCGTTTTTGCACTGCACAGATGCAAAAAAACGCATAAAAATAGAAGGGAAGGATTTTTATAGCTTTTTAGGTCACGCATATGTGATGTACGACGTATCAGGGAAGGCGCATTTTACAGCCCCTTGAGGTCATCTATACACCTTCTACCTTGGCTACGCCCACATTCTTCCCGTACATAAGCCTTCCCGTACATCAATCTCTCCGGTCCACTCGGAATGAGTGGCGAGGGGGAGTTTGGTCGCCCACTGTCCTCAGTCCTCACTACCAGGGGAGGGAGGGAGAATGGGAAAACCTGATGCTTAGGAAGAGAGAGAGGGGAGGAGAAGACATACATCCATTGACCGCCGCTCACCCCTCCACGCAACCCCACAACCACGGCTGTCCCTCTACCACCCCGCCTTCCCACCAGCCAGGTCATACAGCCGTTGCGGCCTGGGTAACGTTGCCCTGCCTTTCTGGCAGGCTGCCAAACGACCTCGGTGAACGACGCCACGAAACACCGTTGCTAGAGATGGCAGAGGAGTTCCCAAGCACCAACTACCACCAGCCGAGCCGAGCTGTAGTAGTTGCCCTTTTCGAACGTCAGCAGACGGCAACTACTAAAACACCAGTCGGCTATTACTCTACATTTCCGCTAACGCTATTTCTCGGCGAGTTTCGTCGACACCGCTTGGCAGTTTGTCGCGTGTGCTGAGTAGCGAACAGCTTCATAAATAAGTTTGTTCCCCTCCTCTATCCTACCCCCTAAACCTTGCCTGCAGAGCCAGCCGCTATCACCACTGACCGTAGCACACTCCTCGCCA